AAGAAAGAGCCCCAAAGCACAATCATATATATGGCAGTCAGACAGATGACAGAAATCACAAACTAGTGGGGAAAGGTAGGTCTCAATAAACGGTTTTGAAGACAACTGATTATCCATAATGGAAAACATGTGGCTCTCCACCACATACACCAAGAACTCAAATCAATCTTCAGGTAGATTCAACAACTAAGCATGAAAATCAAAACATGGGAAAATATCTTTATGACTTCAAGTTTCTTAGAGAAGATATCAAAAACACAAGATATACTTAAGAAAAGATGGAAAAAATGTAACTTCTCTAAAATTAAAAACTCCCTTGCATCAAAAAACACTATACACTGAAAATGTAAGCCATAGATTAGAATAAAATACCTGTGATGCACATAAGCTGCAAAGGATTTGTATCGAAAGCGTAAAGACCCACAGACATTACGAAAAATGACAAAACTTTTCAACAGAAGAATGATCAAACTAGGTGCACAGAAAAATGACAGAGGAAGAAACAAGAAAGATCTTCAACCTTACTTGTACTCAGGGAAATGTAAAATTCATGGGTTGGTGAAAAACTGTAACGATTTTGCAAAGCAACTGAGTAATAACTCAACCATGTCACTTCTAGGTATATACATAGTATGAGTGTATACATGTATGTATACACACATAGATACATGCATACATATAGGTATATTTACATATGTACATACATCATAAGTATATATTCGAGCAGAAAAAAGATGCAAGAGAAATGAGCAGAAAAAGAAATGCCGGAGAATGTTTATTGAGTTATGGTTTGTAATCTCAAAAAAATTAGAAACTGACCTGATAATTGGGAATAATATACAAAAGCTAAAATAATAACACTAGATCTACATGTTTCAAAGAGAATGAAATGTAAATAGCATATTTTAACATAAAAAAACAAAATTAAAGCATGATACGTACAGAAAATTCCATTTAACTAAAGTTTTAGAACATGCAAGCCATATCATATATGTTTTATGTTTACATATATATATAGGAATAGTATAAAACTGTGCATGGTTATAGTAAATGCTACATCTGGAGGGATGCTTAGCTTTAGAGAGGGAGGGAAGGGGCCTGCATTGAGGAGGGTTACACAGGGGGCATCAAATATATCCCCTCGTAAAAATCAAAACAAACAAAAACTAACAAATATGGCAAAATGCTAAATTTATATAGGTCTATGTGGTGTTTTGGGGGTATGTTTTATATTTTTTCTATACATTTCTGTGTGCTTGATACATTTGATACTCTTTTGTAAAAGCTTGCTTTCTAAAACGTGCAAATAACTGAGACAAATTTATAACTGCTAACACTCAAACTCCATGTGATTATTGGTTAAAGGAAATGAACTGAGCATTCAAAAATAGGGAACTCAAGAAATCATCACACCGATTAATCCATATCCCTGTGGTTGTTTAATAAACAGAAATTTTAGCAACATTAAGATACCATTAGATACCTATTTACTAAATAAATAGAAATTATAAAATGCCACTGCTGTCGGATCTGAGAATGACATAAATTTTAAATGTTTTGATTACATGGTCAATTGTTTTAGTTTTTCTGGATAAAAAACATGATGAGCTATGAAACTATTGGATACGATTTGGCACAATAATCCTGCTCTATGGAACATTCTCCAAGGAAATAAACAGATTAAGAAGTTATTTACTTAGAAATATTTAATCTCATGCTATTTATGATTGCAAAAACAAAAATACATCAGAGAAAACCCAAATGTCTAAGAATAGGAGATGGCTAAGCAAGAAAGTCATATTACAACATAAGATCACTGCAGAGCTATAAAAATGTCAACTGTGTGCTCATGCTGACACATGGAAATATGAAATAAAATTAATTTTATAAAGCAGAGTTGTAAAAATGTCAACTGTGAAAACCATATGGAAATATAAATTGAAATTAATTTGAAAGAGCAGAACACACCATTTCCTGATTTCATGATTTCCACTATGCAAAAACAACAATATTTGGTAAAGATAAGAAGAGAATTTGGAGGGAAACAAATAAATTGAGTCGAGTTTATTGGATTCTTATTCTTTCCTTTACAGTTGCCTAAATTGACCTATATTCCTTAATAAAACAACCACAGGGATTTTGTCAGTAGTGTAATGGTTTTATGAATAAACAAACACGTTTCTGCCCATGAGGTGTGAGGAGAAAACACCTTCCTTTGGTCTTCCAACACTGTTCATCCTCTAGGCACGCAACCACATGATGTACTGGGGAACAACATTTTTCCCTAATAGATATGCCCAGTCTGAATACACCACATTAAAATTTTACAATGGTAATAGTTGTTTATTAGTTTCTTATTTTATAAAGAATATAGCTGCTGCACAATAAAATGTTAAATCCATTCACATAACACTAACTAGAATAGTTTATAACAATCATGTCACCATGAGCTACAAACCTGTATTTCACGTACATTTCCATAGGTCATTCTGTGCCATAGCTAAGGTTGATCTTCCACCTGGATCAAAATGCATATGAGTCAAAGGAACAAATAACGCACAAAAAATCTAGCTTAGTTCCCTTGCCAAAAATCTTTTGTTATAAATGAATGCATGAAGGAAATTATAGAGGAGGTAAAATTCTAACAAAAAGGTTATATTAGAAAAACAAAATTAGCTCTCTGAGACAGAGAAGATGTGAATAATTTTTCCATAAGAGAAAAATTATTTTTAAAGTCTCCTGTTCTATCTTAAAAATCCAGGCAGATTTTGCCCCTACTCCATAATGTATCCATGTTTATTTTAATATGAAAATAATGTTTTAAGTCATCACTTAAATAATTTAATTCTATCTCCTGCCAAAGCTAGAGAAAAACCAAGATTCCAGGAAGATAACTGTGAATTGGTAGACTTTCAGCACATGGTTGCCCACCCCTCCAGGGGAAACCAACCCCTGTCTGGGACCCCGGGCTCCAGAGTACACCCTGAGTGGGAGGGTTTGAATGACAGCATTAAAGCCATGGAAGGAGGGAGAAGAGCTGATGTTTGCTTTGCTCATAAGATTGTCTTTACACTTAACCTTTTTGTTTTTCAAAAAGAAAATGAAATCAGCAAATCTTTTTCAAGGTAAAGGATGTTGATACTTATTATTAGAAAAGAATTTATATATAGTTTAATACACTGTTTCCAAACATTAGACTTCTTGGTGAAAAATAATATACAGTATTAACTTTTGCTTCATAATATCTTTCTTTGTTAACCTACAAAGAATGCCGCTAAAAGTTTTGCCATTAGATATCTGGTTATTTAAGATAAGATGTTCTCAAAGTTGGATTGTCAGAAATCAGTGAAACCTAATTAGCAACATTCTAGAAAAAATGGAAAACTATAGAAAAAATAATTATTTTTTCCGTTTATAAAGAAAAAATTATGCTAATAACTCAATGTAGTAAGAGATGATATTAAGACTGAGTGAAATATTTAGAAAGAAAGCCCTAAAGGGGCATTGACAATATGATAAAAGGCCAATATTGTACGTCTGCAATTTGCACAATTTGCTACTTAAAATTTTCCCTCAGAGCTTAAAATGGAATGTAATGATGAATAAGAAGAAACACGTGGATAAATGTTGACCAAAGCTTGTATGAAGATTATTGCACAAAAATGTTGCAAATACTATTGGAATATAGTATAAAAGTACAGTAAAATATAAGTAGAGTGTTAGACCTTATCTACATGCTGAGTAAACAATGGAGCAATTCAATGAGCACAAATCAATGTGTGGTACTCTGGCTTATTGGTCTTGTACACATGAAAAATTTAGTTTGATTATTAAGACTGTTAGTGATAAAGTAGGAGTCCCAACTTTTGATTCATATTTCCTATTCATTTATTTTGGTCGTGGTTTGTTTCCAGGCTTAAATTAGAGCCTGTGGAAGAAAGATGAGAGCAGAGCACTAGCCTGTGGGTTGGAACTCTATAATAGAAACCAGTCTGAGCATCAAGATTTATGTGTTGAGTTGGAACGCAAGGTAAGATAATGGAAGATTCAAAAAGGGCAGTTAGGTTTTTTTTGGAAGATGGAGGTTATCAAGTTGCGTGTCTAGAGCTCTATTTCGTAGCATCTGGGTCACTCTATACGCCAGAGACTAAAGAGTTGGCACTAAACAGAGACAAGAACTAAAGTGAAAGGAAATAAAAGGTGGAAGGGAGGTGAATTAATTTAGCTTGAGAAATAAAATGATGATTAAAGAGTAGACTATAACCCCAGATAAATAGGCTAGTTACTTGCATACATTTCACCATGACAATGATTAGTGAAGGCAGACAGAGAAAGAAAAATCTGAAGACATAATAATGAAAGCATACATAAGAAATATTAAATAGGTTCCTGAAGGTTGAATTGTAGACACAGCAATTCTTCTTATATCACCCTTGTCATCTTCAAGTATTTATTGAGCACTTGGTAATTGTTCTGGCAATTGTTTGAATATGCCTACTTTTCTTCAGAGGCACTTTATTCATGTAAATATGGAATCCGCAACACAGAAAGGCTTCAAGTTCATCCAGGTTAAGCCTATATTGATGAATGAATTTCCTCCACAGTATATTTCTGATGAGCATTCACTCAGCTTGCTCTTGAACATGATGAAGCGGGTTCAATTCCAGAAACTTTGCACTTTTCACATGTGCAAAGAACTGTGCAAGGTGCTGAGAGGGAAATAAAGTCAAATTAGAAATGGAAACTTGGAAAAGTCACTGAATTAATCTTTGAAGTACCCATCCCGATCCAAACAAAGCCGCTAAAACAAATTAAAATGAGAAGGCACTCATTTTCATGTTCTAGAAATAAACACCAATACAAATACACAGGGGAATGCAGCGGGTAACACTAGGAGCTTCTGCGTCTGGAAATATCAGAGATGAATGACAGTTTGTGCATGACGGAGGACTGGAGCCAGACACGATATTTAAAACTAGGGTTTGGGTGCTCTCTCCTAGCTTAAAGGAGCCTGAAAACTGCGATTTTTGCTGCATCCTTGCAGTGCAGCCAGAAGAGGAAGGTCCTCACTGTGTTGGTGACTCTGTCTACAGTACCCTCCACATCACGGTAGAAGAGAAGGCCAGGGCTGCCAAGAAAAGACCTGAATCTGGACAAGAAGGCGAGAACCAGGTGGAGGCAAAAGAGGGGCGGCGCGGAGAGAGGGCCAGGGGAAAACAGATCTCTATTTAAGCTTCCAAAGGTAATTAACACTGAGAAAAACAGTCAATAAACCAAAAGTGGAAGATGAATTTACCAGTAATAAAGAACAAATAAGAGGACAACATCAAAATGACTCTAAAATAAGTATGTTTAAGACACTCTCAGAAATAAAGGAATACAATCTATGCAGTAAGTCATTATGGCTCCCGGTCGCGGGCAGCCGGGCGTAGAGGGCGGTCGCGGCGGCAGGGTGTCGGCTACAGAGTTTTAGCCTAGCTGGCAAGCGAGCAACGTCCACCTCGGTGTGTGCACGAGCACATGGAAGTGTTGTGAAGAGTGAAGACTGTGCTCTCCCCAATTGTGTCGACCGTCGTGACTATCCCTTGCCTGATGTGGCCCACGTCAAGAACCTGTCCGCCAGCCAGAAAGCCTTGAAAGAGACGGAGAAGGCCCCCTGGAGCAGCCTCTCCACTGATGAGCAAGTTGAATTGCGTCGCAGTAAGTCCAGCGAGAGCTTTGCTGAAATGAGCAGGAGCACGAACGAGTGGAAGACGGTTGCGGGCGCTGCCACGTTCTTCATCGGCTTCGCTGCTCTCCTCCTGATCTGGGAGAAGCACTGTGTGCACGGCCCCGTCCCGCACAGCTCTGAAGGGGCGTGGGCGGCCAAGCAGACCACGAGGATGCTCCACATGACGGTCAGCCCCATCCAGGGCTTCTCTGCCAAGTGGGACTACGACAGGAACAAGTGGAAGAAATAAGAACCCGCCGTCACCGTATCCCAACCTCACCTTTTCCGTCACCTCCACGCGGCTCAGCATGTTTACTGGAACCATTATGTCGTGAACCAGCGCTAATAAATGAGCAATTTACGTGAAATCCTTCATCATTGTTTCTTAGATAACTAAATGGAAATGTCTGTTATTTGAAATACAATAGGTTTCTCCCTCCTCCCCCAAAAAGAAATGTCATTATGAAAGAGAAAAAAAGTAACTTTCTCAATAGAAGTTGAATGGGCATCTGATAATATCCAAACTTGTTCATGTAAAAACAAATGAACAAAAAACACTTGGTAACAAAAGATAGTGGAATTTCGTTTACCTGGAAAAGGGTGTCTACAAGGGCCTACAGTAAACATAGTAACTTTAACTTTAGAAGCATTGCCATTAGAGTTGGGAGCAAATTAAGTCTGCCCATGATCCCCGACAGTTCAAATATGGACTTGAGGTCCTAACTAATATACTAAGATTAAAAAATATTTTAAAAAATATCTTTTATACCCTTGAGTAAAAGAAAGATTTCTTTAAAAGACACAAAACTCAGAAATCGTAAGGATAAAGGCTTGTAGTAAAAGGATATGCACCAAATTCATAATAGTGGTTGCCTCGGGAAAAGGAGGCAGAGAGAGACGAATGACGGGATGATAAAGGACTTCAACTTTATATATAATGTTTGGTTTCTTAAAAAATGTCAATAACGCTTTATAAGTGTTAACAAATGTTCCTTCTGATTGGTAGATACATAGGTGTTAATTGCATTACCTCTTGCATTTTTCTGAAAAAAATTTTTTTTTGAAAAAGGACTAAAACTGAAAGCAAGCCCCCAAAATTTAAACACTAACTTAAAAGACATGGATCCTCTTCTTCAGAAAACCATAGTTATCCGAGTTACATATAACCTAACAAATAATTATAGTAAAAACCAAAATAATATAAATACAATATAGATGTAGAAACAAAATGCTATGGGTATGTAGAAGAAAAGAAGCAAAGCAACAAAATTGATATAAATTCTTCATGGAAGAGATTTCATCAGTGCTGAATCCTCAAAGATACATCATGTTCCAATACTCAGAAAAGGCCTCGCTAGAAGAGTGTTCCTGGATAAGACTTCTGAGAATAGGGAGTCTCTTGTCCACCGAGATGGAGTGGGAGCTGGAGCTGGTTGGGTTATGTGGGGCAGAGCATCTGGCCTTGAAGGGTTTAGGGTAATGTCTAAACGTGGAACCACAGGCCAAGGAGACCCTGGAAGGTTTTTGAGGAAGGCAGCTTTTGGGGTATCTGCCTATCCTATGCTACACCTGTGCTGGGTGTGAGCATCTACAACATTTTGAATATGTGTCCCTGCCAGCTTACAGGTTAAGAGTAGATATGTGAGTTAAGCTGGGCCAACTAATGTTTCTCTCCCAGGAATTCAGCAAAGCAAATCAATCTGTTAGGTGCTTGAACTGGAAGTGATATGAAGTTGGGCCTGAAGTGGCTGGGTTCAGCCATGTATATCTGCTGAGGCAGAGACAGACAGTGTACAAAAGAGAGCAGAAAGGACTTGAGAGACTGGAGCACCTGAAGTGATAGGTCCCAGTGCCTTGCAAGGTCAGGCTGTGCTTCTGGACTTTGAGGTGCAGAAAGAACCCTGATTCTGTCTGATAAAGTTGCCTTTTTTCTAAGTGATCTCAATGCGCTTTTGCCTCTGACCAAGGCCAAAGGATAGGATTTGAAGGAGATCAGGCTCAGTGTTCTCAAAAGTGACAGAGGAGTCCAGTAAGTGGATAACCAGATCATGAAATGAATTTGGACAATGCTAGGGCCATTTATGACCTTTAAGAGAGCTGTTTCAGTAGAGCACTGGGGGCAGATGTCAGACTTCAAGGAACTAAAGTATGAGTATAAATTATGGAGAGGTTTTTACAGAACTTTGGTAATTAAGGGAAGAGGGGGGATGGGGCTGCCTACCAGGGAAGCAAAGTCAGAGGAAGGCTTCTGTTGCTGCCATGCAGGATGAAACACTTAAGTGTCTGTGTAAACAGAAGAGGGAGAATTAATAGGGAGGAGAGAATGGCTACATAAGGGAGGACATTAACAGAGAGTGATGATACTGTCGGGGAGGAGGGAGAATCCCCCTCTGCCCTTTCCCTTAAGGTTCTTCTGGCTGGCCAAATAATTAAAAGACAGGTTAGCAGGAGAAAATAATACCAAGTTTAATAACATGTATACATGGGAGAAACTGGGAATAACATGTATACATGGGAGAAACTGGGAAACTGAGTTTCTCAACACCATAGCAGAGATTCTCGTCTTAAATACCATCTTCAGCTAAAGACAAAGGAGGATGTTGGGGGTGGGTGGTGTTTTGGGATTTCAGAGGGGAAGAAGACAATTTACATGAAGAGGGAAATGTAAATGTTTGTCAGACAATGCTTTGCAGGGCCACCTATAGAGAATGCGGCTGGAGAGACAGGAATTATAGTAATCAAGAGTATGTACATTTTAGTCTTCTCCTTCCATACTGATAAGAGTTTCCAGAGAAAAAGCCATCCCCCCCCCCCACTTCCCAGCACACAGAGGGAGATACCTTTACAAATGTAAATATTTGGTAAACAGAACTTTGAAAAGAATGGGCTTGGCGAGGACTCTGCCAGTCTGTCCATACCCAGAGTTAAATTCCTTTAGGCAGTTAGTGGGGGAGGTCAAATGTCCGTCAGAGAAAATAACCAAAGTAAAGAGATATATTTCAGGGTGGTCAATTTTGATCTCCCACAATACTATATACTGACCCACATTTGGGTAAAACACACAACAGCTGCATCTGCTTCCTGTGACTTTGTCCCTGACATCAGCAATCCTGCACTTACAGAACATTCAAGTTTTAGGGGAACAGAACACCTAGCAAGTTACTGATTTTACTCCAAGACAAAAGAAATTACATTACTTTACTGTTATAATAAATAAACTTGTTTGTATCACACAGCTATTGCTGCATAAAGAACACCCCAATACTTGGAGATCCAACAGCACGATTGTTTCTCATTTCTCACATGTGTGTAGGCTGGCTGGCTGGTCTGCTGATCTTGGCTCTGCCGATCTTGCTGGGCTCCTCTATTCACGCCTCTGCAGTCAGCTGGGGGTTGACTGGCGGCTCTGTGCTCTCTCACACATCCAGGGCCTCAAACGGAACAACTGGCTATGTCCTGTTCTCCAGCAGGTGAGTGTACCCTCGGAGCGGTCACGTGGAAACAAGACCGAATAGGGGCACACGAGGACTTTGAGGTCTAAGCTTGGAACTGGCACATCGTGACTTCACCCCCTTCTATTTGCCAAAGCAAGTCACAAGGGCATCCTTGGTTCAAGGAGTGGCGAAATCCACTCTGCCTCATGTTGGAAACAGGAGCAACGTTGCCTTGTAAGGGCTATGAATAAAGGGAGGCCACTAATTCAGGACATTAATTTGATCCACCACACTTACAAAGACGTGGGTTTTTTCCTGTTTAGATCGAGTAGGGAAGTATCAGAACTGTCAACAAGGGGTTTTTCAAGGAGGTCCCGAGGTGCTCAGTTTAGTGCTAAAACAGAAGGCTTCAAAACTACTTAGGAACAACTGCTTTACTCTTATATTTCATGTTGGTGGCTCAACTAGACTGAGTTGGTGAGCTTTATTCCCTTCAAGTGTATATATCTATATATATACTCACTGTACACTTAGTAATCTAAAAGTCAAAAAGAAACGTGCAACTTCTTTTCCTGTGAGAGTGGATAAAGCTTTTTTACTTGTTCATGTAAATGTCACTTTAGTAGTTTTAGATCAACTCATATTTCTAACATTAGAAACGAATTTTGTAAGAAGATGTATTGAGGGCCTTAAAATGAGAAAGAACAAGTGCATATTCAATCCTGAAAAAGTGGACTCTATATTTTCTAATGGAATATTAGATGTTAAGATAATGGGCTAAACAAAAAACTGATCTTTTAATTTTGGTTAAAGGTTTAATAAAATAGGGAAATTGAAGTGGAAATAATTCTAACAGGCTTGGATTTAGGTAGGTGGTACATAAAGTATGATGGTAAGTTACTTTTGGATTTTTGAGACTGGGTCAAGAAAAAGCTAAGAAAAAGCCATCCTCTGAGAGAGCCGAAAAGGAAAGATAAATGAGCTTATCATTCTGCAGAAGCAGCCCTCCCCAAGAGACGGTTTGTAAATATATACTGCCGATGGAGATTTTTAAAGCACCCAAATCCAGTCCAGGTGATCAGGGAGAATCCCAAGGATTGGAATGCAAAAAGAAACTGGAACTCAACAAATGGCCTCATATGCAGCCAGCAAAGGCTTTAGGCCTCTTGGCTGGAGATGTCCCTCCATGAGAATGGTTCTATCAGACAGTTGTCACTTGTCACACTACTCATTAAGAGGAGCCAGCTCTCTTTGTCCTGATTTCATGGTCAGTTGGCAATCTTTTAACTTAATTTGCCTTTATAGACTATAGTGGTGGGAAAGTGTTAACCTGAAACCATCGGTCTTTTTGGCGTTTATGTCCGTCAGTATAATTGGCCTTCTTGCTTTTCGCTAGTTCCCTTAGCCTGGTCACTTCTGGGAGCATTCACAAACAAGTTTCTGGACGTATGATGCTGAGAACTAGACGTAGACCCTGAACTTGGTGATCTCTAAACTAAGTCCTGTGCTGTGAGATGCGCCCTGTGGAGCCAGCTGGTCTGGGGTCCCTGGCAGAGGTGGGAATAACAACCACCTTTCCTGACAGCTAGTGTGTGTTCTACATATTATACCACTTGCTAGTTTTTAGATAATGCATGTCTAGCTACAGTAATTTTGGGCATATTGCTATTCAAGAAACTGTGAATTGCCTACCTCTGAATTTTCCATTTTTTTTTCTAGATCTCTTACCTTGGAGATGGTATGGTTGTGTCATCAATATCTATGAAAACGAGACTAAAAAGGATTGATAGCTTTCCTCCTGCAGTTTGCATGGCTTTCTCCAAATCCAATTGGTTTATTGAGTACAAGTTGTAGTGGGAAGTGAAG